CAAAGGGTAAAACTCAAAATTCATTTTTATTCAATGAGTATCATGAGTGTGAGACGATGAACTATATATTGTGGAAGAGATGAACAATAACTCATCTCGCCGATAGATTTATACATATATAGTCGTATAATTATTGAAGTAGCATGAATTCAGAATATTTCTAGATTATGCCACCGAAAGGTAGAATTGACGAAGAAATCTTCCTAAAAACATTGCGAACACTGCATAACGATGAAATTCGTATGTTAGATGATTCTAAAGCAAGAGCAAATATATGGGGCCATATTTGTACTTCAATGGATAAAGCAGATAACGTTGTTAATCGACGTGCATGCTATGATTTATGGAAACGCAAACGACACATATGCAACAATCTAATCAATGATACATTATCGGTAGGTTTTTGCAATTTTAATATTCTATGTATCTTTATTTACTATTTTGAATCATCATCATAGAATGTACAACAAGCTCCCAATAAAACAATAAAAGAAGACAACACATTAAAAAATGTTACATTTCAAAATAATCAAGTAAGTAATCAAATGATAATTGGTAGGGAAATATGAATATCGTGAATCAATGATTCTATTTTTCATACCTTGTTTTGTCATTAATTTATGGAGCGTTCAATAGGCAAAGATTGCAATATAGCCATTCTCATTTTTTTCATTTAAATTATTTTATTCGATTCAGTTATTTAGGTAATTATTGAAAGTGTCAGTGAAATCAAAGAAACATAAATAGATGAAGTCAAACAAGAAATTTAGCTATTATAAATATCTTTGACTATCAGTTTCTCTTCCTATTTCTCTTCTTCTTCCTCTTTCTGTACCTATATGGTTCAATTCAGCTTTGATTTTAATGAGCGGTGAAAGGGAAAAATATTTCAATTTAGATAGATAGATGTGGTTATGTGTGTTTACATCGATCAAGGAAAAGAAAAAAAACAAAGATAGCTAGCTATTGAGAATAGCACAAAAGTGAAGAGAGATCAACGATAAAAAAAAGATGATAATCAGAGAATGAACAATATAAAGATCAAATTATGGTTATTTTCCAAATAAAGAATCAATATAACTATATGCATCAATGGGATCAAATATCTGATAGCAATATCAGAAAAATCACTCGGCTCTATTCATCTTACCAACATAATTCTTGACAACAATTATATCTATTCATATTTTACACTAACTGATCAATGGCAAAAAAAGTCCCATTCATTCATCATTAAATAAGAACAAAAAGAGATAAGAAATTTGTGACACTTAAGTATACTGGATAAATTGAAAAATAAATGATGAAAAAAAATTCTTCAATATAATCTTTTTAAAATGAAAAAAAAAAGAGCACATCGATTGCACATGCTGATAGAGAAGATATCAATTGGAAAATAAATTTTTCACTTGTTGATATTTTAGTGTTCGTCGCTTGATACTATTACATCTAATCCACAATTCATTGAACAACTAGATGAACTTATAAAGCAACAATCAAAACAGATTTTGTTAATAAAAACTCATGATCTTAATTCGAAGTGTTGTTCTGGTGATATTGTAGCTGTTCAACTTCTTTGTGCGTGTGTAGATTCATCTAGTCACACACATGTACAAAATAACAATTCTTTAAACAATGATTTATCAGACGGTGTGAGTATATCCTGTCGACCGATCTCAATAATACAAATTATGTATGCATAATCATTTGTTAGGCTCGTCAACAAAATTTTAATATTGACAAACGAATGAATAGTGATTCAGGTGATCAACAATCAAATGAAATAATTATGAACAATAACCAAGACTCTCAAGTAGTTTACATATTTTTCTTCTAGATTGACTATCTATTCTTTTTTTTTCGATAGAATGAACACGTAGTATCGTCAGACGTTTTGACAAACAATACTGTTACATCAGTATCATCTGTTCATACACCTCCGCGATTATTTATGTCGCCAGCGTCAGCAGTAATTAATTTCAAAAGATAGAACCTATAAATTTTCGCAAATAAATATTATCTTTTTTAGTCATCATCTATAATATCTCTTAAAAGTGTAGATATGAATCCAACAACGGATCAAATGTCTAATACTAAATTAAATAATGTATCTCATCTACTCGATCAAGTAAAAGTGAGCGAATTTAGAGCTAATTTTTATATAATCTATAATGACGAATTATATAAGTAAAGTCATTTATATAAAATATTATCGATTACAGACCTATACTTACTGACAATCACAAATGATCTTCCTTTTTTTTTCTTGTATTTTTTAAAATCTTTATTTTCATTTGTTTTATTATTTAGAATATATTGAGTCCAAGGAAAAAACATGATCATACTGTCATAACTGATGACCAAAAAGCCGTACTTATATATTTACAACGTCAAAGTAGTGATTCATTTGTTTTTACATGTGATATTAAGAAAATTCAACAAATTGAAAGAGAAAAAGCTACTGTTATTTCCCAAAATGATATGGATAAATTAAAAAAGCTTCAAAAAAATAATCTACAGAAGAAAAGCTCTTCAAAGAACAAGACACCGCAGACAGTTGATGATCTGAATCCAGAGGAACGAAAAAGAAATCTCGAATGGACTTTAATTTTAGATTCTTACATTGAGAATTCAAATGATTATTGTGTGTTTCTTTATGAACGTCATCATTTTACTAATCGAACTGCAATCAACAATACAAATAAATTTTTCATGAGTGCTGATGCTCATTGTAAATTTAAATTATGTACATGTCGATTGCATGCTATATTATATGAAAATAGTCGATTGAAAATAAATTATTTTGGAAAAATTGTACATGAAATTGGAGAAGTACATGCTCGACCAATGCGAGGTTCTCGTCGAGAAGAATTACAAAAATTTACTATGTTGGGTGCTACACCAGCAGCGCTTTATCTTCAACAATTAAAATTAATGTCAACAGCGAATAAAGAAGCTGGAAATAGGAATGTTGTTGGATCTAGTCGTTCTGTAATTCGCAAAATATCTAGTGAAGGTAATGTCAAATTACGTCGTGATGATGATCTAGAAAAAAGTCTTCGGCAATTAAAATCTGAACAAACAGAAAAACTTTTTCCTGGTGAACAAATACCTGGATATCTGCAAGAAATAAGTATCGATCCATTAAGACTCATATGTTTTACAGCTGGTGGTATTGCTGCATATCATAAATTTGCATCGACTATACCATTATCGTGGGATGCAACAGGTGGTATTATCGTAAATCGTAAAAAACGAATTTTTTATTACGAATTAACTATGTCCAGTCTTGATAAAGGTGGTTCATCACTGCCAATTGCAGTTATGCTTAGTGCATCACATGGTACTATGGATATTATTCATTGGATGAATTGTTTTATCGAAAAATATAAACAAGTTTATGGTTATACAAATCCTTTTCCAAAACCACCTGTTATTCATAGTGATCGAGCTCTAGTATTTTTACTGGCTGGTATACAAGTTTTTAATGGAGATGAAACAATGGATCGATACATTGAACGATGTTGGCGAATTATTCAACGAGTAGCTACTAAACGTGATTTAGAAATAACAGTTGTTCATTCGTGTCTTGGTCATTTTATGAAAAACGTCAAAGTAAATGCATCAAAAGTTTTAGGCAAGAAACAGGTATTATACACAAGCATATATATATATACGTAGAAGCAACCCGATGAAAGATATTCATAGTAAGAAAAAAATATTTATTTTAATTTTTGTGTCTTCTTTAGGTTTCATTTGGCATGTGGTTGATGGCATTACTTGTTAACAGCAATACATTGGATGAAATGATGATTATTTGGCGAAACATCTGTATTGTTCTTCTAAGTACTAATCAAAATGATCAATTTAAGATATCATTATCAACACTATCCAAAATGGCTGATCAGATGAATGGTGATCCAGAAAAGACAAACTTTGTTCTCCAAAATGTATCAGTGACAACGAAAGGCCATTGTTCTAGCACTATAAATGCAGACGTAAGTAGCCTTTTTTCGAATGATATATAAAAGATTTTTCGTTTAAAAAATAAAATAGAAATAGTTGTCATGTCGTTTGATTTTCAATCACAATCATTTCGTATAATTGTATAGATTGTTTGTATAACCATTATGATTTCAGATGACTATTTTTTATAATTAAGAAGCTAGAGTAGTTCTTAGAGAAACTATCAGAAATTTTTTTTTTCATAATGTATTCTTGTTTAAAAAACTCAGACTAGATAATAGAACATTTAGATAAAATATTGATCATGTTGTAGAAAATAGCATTAAGATGATTCAATGAGCCATATTCACACTTTGCTTGTTGGCCACGATGCCAGCTAAATCGTGGCCAAAACATGGTCATTTATATCGATTATTCTTTCTCATTAACAACTTTTCAACAATCATTTCGTCACCAACACTTTTCTTTGATCTTTTTCTCTCTCTTCTTGTTCTTCTCTTTGTCTCCCCTCTTCTCTTTCTCTCCCCTCCTCTCTTTCATCCTCTTTCTATTGATGGTGATCCATTCGATCGATTAAAAATGATAATCAAATACACCTTACAACAATATCGAATAGAAATGAATAGTTTGATATCTCTGAGTATGATTTTATTTTAAACGCAATGTTTTTATATCATAAGAAAGTAATGGTATTTAGAGATAGCCAGAATTTTATTCAATACATAGCTATTTGTCTCTGAAAAAAAACATCAGTTTTAGTATGATTTAAATTCGCACTGCATCTCAACATTTTCATTTCTGTTCGATAGTGATGCAAGCTACAATCACTTATTTATCATTTTTAATCAATCGAATAGATCATCATCAATAGAAAGAGAATGAAAGAGAAGAGCAGAGAAAGATAGAAAAACAAGAAGAGAGAAGAGAAGAGCAGAGAGAGAGAGAGAGGAACAAGAAAAGAGAAGAGAGAGAGAGAGAGAGAAACAAGAAAAGAGAAGAGAGAAGAGAAGAGCAGAGAGAGAGAGAGAGGAACAAGAAAAGAGAAGAGAGAGAGAGAGAGAAACAAGAAAAGAGAAGAGAGAAGAGAGAAGAGAAGATCAAAAGGATCAAAAAGATAAAAGAAAAATTTATGAACGATGAGATCGTTGAACAGTGCATATATATGTGAGGTTGAAAAACAACATGCATTAATTTTTCTTGGCCACGACGCCAGCTGAATCGTGGCCAAAAAGTTTAGTGTGAATATGGCTCATTGAATGGAATGCATCATTGAATTTATTTAGAACGACGATGACGTTACACATGATGTTGAAATTGACGAAGACGATCGTTTCTGCATAGAGTCATCATTCAAGAAATTATTTATTACAATTTATCAAGAAAATAAAGATTTATTAAAGAGTTATGATGCTCCTGAATGGCAGCACCTATCAGCTAATCCACTATTTTCAGCAGCATACTTATCTCGTATTCTTAAATTATATATGCCAACGGCACCTATTTGGAGCAATCTTCTTCTTGGTACCTTTGCTCAACGCTATGGATATTCATCAAATTTGGTAGTACCACCATGTTCATGCCATTTTGGTCGAACAACTGGTAAATCTGAATCTCAAATGCGAGTATTAAAAGAAGCAATACTTAGTAAGAAGATTTATTCAAGAATTGATGAAGTGGTTAGTAAATTAGGTGATACAATAGAAGCAGTAGAAATTCAATTTGCCGATTTCATATTGATTAAACGAACCAAAAATCGAGTGTTACCTGCGAAAAAACAGAAAAAAATTGAAGAACCATGGAACAAGCGTACAAAGATTATAAAACCTACTGGTGTATATACTTCAATGAAACCATCGATGAATCTCGTGGCCATGGTGAATACACGTTTATTGGGTCAAAATGATGATTCTAATTTAGGTAGTTATCTTAAAAATACGTAGGGATTCTATAGGCAAAAAATGAAAACTCCAAGTCATTGACTGCATAAGGGAAACATGTTGAATATTGAATAAAAGCATTGTATTCTGTAGACTAAAACAAAACGAAAATTTCTGCGAAATTCTTTTTTTTTAAACAGTCTTTATTTTTTTGTTGTTTTAGACGTTGGGCAACTTCCATCGTTCGTTAGAATCGAGAATGCTGGTAATACTTGTTGGTTCAATAGTATCATACAAATGTTGTTAGCATCTGGCCATATTGTCGAAACAATACGTAAATTCCATATCATTGATAAAGATTTAGTACCGGACAAAATTTTCATTTTAAGCAACATATTAAAGACATTCATATCTACATCTATCAGTAGCCATACCAATGGAAGAAAGGAAATTATAGACAAAAATTTTATTAAAGATCATTTTGGATATCTTCGTTGGGCTGGCTTTAATATCGAAACTTATAAAAAATATTGCGTGTTCGAATTTTTTCAAGCAGCCATCATACCAATGCTTTTGTTCTACAATATTGACTTTCAATATGTTCTTGAAAAATCCATGCAATGCTCTTCGTGTCAAGAAATAACTTCACTTACTCGAGAAACATGGAGTTTCCTTCTTGTAAGTCAAACCGCCAATGAAGAAACTTTTGATAATATTACGGCTAATCTATTTGGTCCAGTATTGGATATGCAGATATGTGATAAATGTTTAAAAAATGATCTCCATCCTACATCAATATCAATCTTAAATTGTCCGAAACATCTTTTCGTTCATCTAGACCCGCACGTGACCAATGATACAAAACGACCTAAATTAACAACACATGTGGACTTCGGAAAAATTTTATCGAATAATGTTATATATACTCGTTCATATTCTCGTTATACTTTACAATCATTTATTGTAATTGATGGTAAAGATAATACAGCACATAATATGACATATGCGCGATCCAAACAAGACTGGTATTGTCTCAATGATACAAATATTACACTAGTGAAATCGTCAAGTATTTTTGGCGATCAAGCAAAACATCAGCCAGTAATGATGGCTCATTTAACTCGACCGTCTGATATTGATGTATTTTCAATAGCATTATGGAACGTGTTCACAAATTTTTCACCAATCAATATATCATTAACACCAAATTTATCATTAAACGATGCCGTAAATTATTTTGCAAAATATAATCTCATCGAAAATAATCCACTCAGCCTGGTTGTTGTTAAATTTTTGAATTGTTCTATTTGTAAAAAAGGTAAAACCAAATTATTGATAGGATATCCCATTGATGATCCTATTTATAAAAAAATAATAATGAGAGCTAAATAATTATGACATGCTATTGGACATTTAAATATAATCCGAGTATTCTTTTATGAGACCATATGAAGTCTATTACTGTTTTACGAATTTGTTTCGATAAATTTAACTGATTCTCCCATGAACAATATTTATTTGATACTAATGTCATCGAAAAAAAATATATTAGCCTGAAAAATATTTATGCGCTTATTTTTTTATTTAGAAACTTTTACTGTTGTTCGGATGCATGAAATTTGGCAAATGAAAAAAGATGCATCACATGTTACTCATAAAATTCAATTTTTCATGCATGAAGAAATCAATTGTTCTTCTTGTAAAACAGCAGGACTGACTAATTTTGTCTTATATGATATACCAAGATTTCTTATATTTAAAACTGAAAGCATTAATACAGATTGTATTACTTTAATTGATGATATAAATCAACTTCGCATTCGACCACTTGATACGAATTTACCATTCGATTATCATTTACAAACAGTACTAATTGTTCTTGAAGAAGATGACATTGTTTATCTAAGAAAAACAACGAATGGGTATACTTCTTTTAATAAAACTACTGGTCAATTTGTACAATTACGTGATTTATCAACATATCAAACAGGATTAGCTTCGCGCTGGATAATATTCATTTATCAAACCGATGAAAATGTCTTCTATCCGGCACTAATGGACAAAATCACTTTGGATCAAAGTACTTTAGCCGAAAATATGGAACCCGATGAATGGACAATCAATACTGTGCACGATCTTTTACCAACGTTCACTGATACTTTAAAAATCGGCTCAGTACAACTAAAAAAAGATGACATTAAAACATTGTTAGACAATGATGCTGACATAAATGATTTGATTATTAATGTCCATTTATTAATTATAGCATCTACAGCACCATTTCACAAGCGCGTCTTGGCTGTCGAAAGTCACACAATATCCGACATAATTGAAAATAAACTAAAAAACATCAGAACATCCTGGCTTGATTATGATATTATTCTCTGTCCAATAAATCAGAAACACCACTGGTATTTAATGATAATTGATCTTGAACAACATTTATTTATACAATTCGACTCATTACCGGCACATGATATCCCACGCAGACAAAATCTAGAACGTCTTATTCATATTTTGAATACACAATATTATTTGAAGTACGACACTAACATCGATTTTCGCACAGCTTGGGCATTGTCGGATCCGAGTGAAGATTTCGATTTATGTCAAAACGACGTCCATTCATGTGGCGTCCATCTTCTAATACAAGCAAAAGCATACACAAATCGTGAACGACATAAGCCGATCCCACAAGACAAAATAAACTTATACAGACATCAAATAGCAGAAGACATACTTCAAAAAGCCGAACCAAAATCCGACGACAGCATATCAGATGTAAGTCAGCAACAAGTCAAAAGTAAAAAACCATTGACCCCACTCTCTTTTCTAGATATCAGATATTTACACGCCGAGTCCCAAAACACGACGGAAAAGCACCGCAGCGAGAAACACAAACAAAGTGAAGCACAAAAAATGAACAACAAAAATATTTCATTTTCGAAAACATGTAATAGGTTGCCTAAAATAAAATAAAAACAGAAAAAGAATCCACAAAACAAAAATCTAAGTCTTCCACGTTCCACATAGCTCAAATCTAATGGAGCGACCAACAAAACAATAATCAACTATTGAGAATCAAAAACAATTGCTAAAAAAAACAAATTCTGTAACATTCATGAGTAAACACACAAATAATCATAACACGCTACATCCACAATCACACACTATCACACGTCCCCGAAATATCTCACAAACTAAAAAAAATGAACTCTTTCCGCGACTGATGCTATTCAAATCTCAAAACCAGTTGTTTTACATCCGGTGAAACACGCTATAACAATTCTCATTTAACATTCAACATCACCGCACCTTTCCACGAAATCATCACAAAAGCCTCATTTTTTACGAAAATTTAGGTTTTCTTCATCGATGCGATAACGCTAGACATATTTTTGAGCGGGATGAAACCAGACTCGTGGAGGTTGTGATACACCAATTGATAGAGAAATGAATTCTCCATTCATCAGTGAAAAGCTCATTTCTGGGCTATGGATGGTATCGTCACGATTTTACTTTTCATGACGAAAATTCCGGATTTTTTCATGAGTCGGATATTGGCAGGCTTTTTTTGAGGGGGGTCCAAATGGATTTTTGCCGGTTGTGATACACCAAGTGATAGAGAAATGAATCCCGGTGTTTGGTGAAGAGAGTTGATAGGATGATGATGAATAGTTTTTTGTGGATGCGAATTTCACTTTTTGGGAAGTTTGTTATTTCGGACACTACTTGACTGTGAAAGGTTTACAGTTGGTTGATAGTGATGTAGAGATAGATTATGTTGCGGATCGTTATGATGTTGATAGGAAGGAATGATACGCGTATTCACCAGTATGAGAGGGTTGGAGTGGTACTTGTTGTTAATTATTGTTGTTGGTGGGTATGTGGTTGGGAATTGTTTTTTGTGTTCATGGTTAGGATTATCGTCTATCTTTCAAGGAAGGGTTTGTTTTTGCGAAATACAGTTAGTAAATATTCTGTTGCTAAGAAGTTGTGTATGGTATTTAATGGACTGTTAATGGTAAATGATGGTTGATTGCTGATTGGTCTGTTATAGATTCGTTCCTGATTGGTCATCGTGCTAGCTTCACATCGATGCACATTTTTACTGCAAGAGTCATCTTAACGAACTCAGCAAGAATGCCAGTTTTGTTCTAAATATGTCTGTCTATTAACTGTGCAAGTCAGATCAAGAAAATATTGAATTATTCTGAGCATTTATTCGAAAATAAAAGTAAAAATGTAATTATGTTCTTTAACTCTCTGTGCAGCCTCAAGGATGAAGTAAAAGAGAAAGTGGCTGTGAGTCAGCCGCAGAAAAAAAACAAGTTCGCTCTCTCTTTCTCTGCTTTATCAAATCCATTCCGATGCCAGCAACTGTTTATTAATTAGTATTCAATTTTATTTCACTTCTCTCTAAAAAAATACTGAAGGTATCCGATAACGAATAATGAATGGCAGCACTTTGCATTTCGTATTTAAAAGAAACAAAGTATGCCATAGTATGTAGCGTGAAAAGCTTCACAATTTGCATGGAAAACGTATTTTATAAATGCACGTTTTGTTTTCAAAATGAATAAAATTCTGTGAGATTAACTTTTGACGCTACGAAAAGGATCGTTTTCTTGGTGCATGCCAAATCTCTGTTTCTTATTTTTTTTGGCTAAAGAGCAATATCGACGGTTATAATTAATGTTTGATTTTTAGCCCAATAGACATATTTCAGTTACAAGTGTCCACTGATTTTGACATCAGTTCTGCAGGCACACGCGAGGTTTTTGATAAAGAATCACAATTGTGTTGGTGTGAGTGTCGGTGTGAGTATTCCTGTAACTTATAGTTACATCCTGGCACCCACACCCACAGCCTCACCCTCAAGGGTGGTACGTATCAGTAATACGTATTGCCCAATCTTAAGAAAACATTATTGTTGCTTTTCATCGAGCAATATATTCCTTCAAAATGAATTTCTATTGAAATTTATTTATTGCTTTGTATCAGTAAGGTTTTCGCAAACATGGCATAAACTTTCAACATATCCAGTCTTTTATCTTCATTCACATTTCATACTAAAGCTTTCATCTTATTCTTTTTGAGTATATTCGAGTCCCCCTTGAAAATTTCTTTCTTTTGTTTCATTTTAGCAAACAATAAAAAGCAAAATAGAATAGAGAAAATCTTGATAGAAACTTAATGTTTTTTATTTTATTATGTTGATAGAAGATAAAAAAAACATAAAAGTGAAATGAAACGAGATTAAAATGAATATTTGAATTCGAAGAGTGTGAGTGCTGAGTTCAGTGTCTTCATGTGTGACCTTAGCACTTTTACCTCCCGTTGTCAGTTAAATCTCAAAATAGAGATAAATGTTAGTTAACTATGAAGAAAATGTGACTTGTAGCATTAGCAAGAAATAAACCATATTCGAGATGTGAAATGTTCAACCAACATGTGTTAATATCTTGAGGATGTAGTATTAAAATAAAGCAATTTACACTCACACACACACACACACTCACGCCACTTATAAGAACGACAAAAATAAATGCACGGTTTTTCGCAGTACTCACGGTTGTGTATGTACCCATATACAAGAAAAGTTCACCGTTCTCTGCATAAAAAAGTCTCTTGATACGATTCGCATCAGAAAAAATAATGACAGAAAGCAAAGGGCAGACATTTGATGTTTTTATTTTTGAGGATGTTGATGTACGATGCTGGTTTGAGAATTGATGAAATAGGAACCACAATCGCGCATACTCTCACACACACATTCGCCCTCTTCATTTTATAGATTTGATTTTAGTAGAATTACAAGCATCAATTAATCTTGTTGTCTCTGTATTCATTCAGTTTTCTAAAGTTCCCGAAGACAGTTAAATCTTAATGGCTCATTTATGATTACAGCATTTGAACAGCACTTTTCTTCGATTCGTAGAATCTAATTTCAAGTTAGATTTCATAGCTTTTCACCTGCAAATGTTGTGTGAAAAACACGATATATAGATGATTTTTTTCCGTTTCAATAACTTTCACAAGTTACATCGTAAGACGCCATCACAGTTTTTAAACTCTGTATTCTCTTAAGCGTATATGAATGATTCATACATTGCGCAAGAATTTATGATGAAATATACTTCTTTGCATCATGAAACACGAAGGTAACACTATATTGACTTTTTTAGTCTACTAAGCATGCAAGCGATGGAGACACCATTATTGCTAACAGACAAGCAAGTGCAGGAGTTTTTAATCAATGGTTATTTGATTCTTCAACCCATCTCACTTGATAGAAATTTTCACTCATCAATATTTACTGAAGTTCAGTCAATTTTTCAACAAGATGGGAATCCAGGAAACAATATTCTTCCACGAATTCCTCAACTTCAGTATGTATTCGATGATCCAGTAGTTAAAGGTGCATTACTAAGCCTATTGGGTTCAAATTACAACATGCAACCACATCGACATGCGCATACAACACGTCCGGGAACTGCAGATCAGACATGGCATAAAGACAGTTACTTTGGTTATCGAAAGCTACTGCGTCATCATCAAATACGTTATACCATGGTCATGTATTATCCTCAAGATACCACTATTGAGATGGGGCCCACTGCTCTCATACCTCGATCACAATACGATGTTGAGCATCCGGAAATGTATTCACATTTTGAAACACTAGAAGATCCGAATACAACAAGTGACGATCACGATATTTCTCTAGTTTGCACAGCCGGCACTGTGGTGTTAATTCACTATGATATTGTGCACAGAGGAACAGCCAATATAACAAATCGTTCACATCGTTATATGTTTAAATTTCAGTTTACTCGACTTGAAGAGCCAACTCAGCCAACATGGAATCATGACCCGACAAATGCGTCTTACGATGCAGCCGATGCAGGATTATTACAGCCAATTGTCAAGCATGTCTGGAACTGGATGATAGGCCGTGTCATCCCCTTACAAGAACTTACCACTGATCAAGATATTAACACGTGGAAAATACAGCTTAGTGATCACTGTGGGAAAATCCGTCTCAATGCAGCTTATAATCTAGCTTTGAATAACGAATACAATATTTTAATCCAACAATTATATAAGAACAAAGCAATTCCTCGTTTCGAAGCAGCATATGCATTAACGGCTTGTCGATATAATAAAGAGGCAATCGATGAATTACAAGCAGTGCTAGCGAGAGAAGAAAACAATGAACCCATTGCATATTGTATAGCATTCATCTTTTCCGAAATGGGTTCAGCAGCACTCGATACTTTACCATTATTGATACACGTCATTGAAAAAAGTCATTCATATTTAGTGAAACAATACTGTTGTGAAGCCCTGGGAACTATCCAAGTAAATGAGCAACATAATATTGACACGGTCGTATCATGTTTGACGAATGTTCTTGCTGATCGAGATCAACTGAAAGATCTTAAAGACGCATCCCATATGAGATTTACAGCAGCATTATCCTTGGCTAAACTTGGCGTCAAAGCAATACAAGCAATACCTAGTCTAAAAGCAGCACTCTATCTGGATAAAAATCGATATGTGAATGCAAATGCATTATTAGCTTTGAAAAGAATCGGAACAGATGAAGCGTTAAAAATTGTTTTGCATTATCTTGAAATGTCACGATGGTGTGCAAAGACAACACCTGCTAGCTTATATTAGACACACTTATTTGTAAGAAAAATTGCTTATTCCCAAGGTTTCATTTATCAATATTCTATAGAGTTCTGAATTGCATTCAAAGCTTACTGAGAAAGATAACCACCGAATTTGTAGAAAAATAAAGATTTCTGCCATCCGTAGCATAAAGTTATTCTGAGAGATAATTTGAATAAGTGAGAATGTGTGGAATATGGGTGTGAAGATGGGCGCGATTTTAGGAATGCATATGGATGTGGGTACGTTGCTGTAGATATAAGGGATAGGACAAAACAAGCTACACATCTATACCAACAGCTGCCCAAACTTATTTAATATCACTGAAAATTGCGGGAGTGGGTGAGTATTTTCATCTCCATGCACACCTACACCCACAGCCAGCTTATGTTTCAATTTTGTATCATAGAACAAACTAGATGAGTTCCCAAATCAAGGGGGAAACAGCTGATTCATGATTTTGGGTGATTTTTTGAGTGATTTTCATGAAATCAAAAGTCACCGGAAATGACTGGAACTAATTGAAAATCACAGACAATCAATGAAAAGCAATGATAATTACTGAAAATCAATTGATTTTGGGTGGTTCTCGACTGATTTTGGGCTGCTTAAAATCAGCTGCTTTCCCCTTGTCCCAAATGTGTAACTTATTTATGATTTGTGAATCATTTGAATATTTACAAAAGATAGAACTACCGGATGAGACCCTTAAGCAAGGTCGAAACGAGTCGTAGTATGCTCTAAAACACATCCGCACCGTCTTTTCATGCCCAATACATGTCTCATGCTATTGTTGTTTTATTGATTATAATCATATGAACCATCAATCATACATCAGTAGAGATAAAAAGTTGCAAGTTAATTGATTTTCGGTTTTATGCGTCTGAGATAAAGAATATGCTTCGACTTTTCAGTGTCAAATTCATATTTAACAAAATCAAACACGCACTTATTCTTGAGTAAGAATTCTTCTTCGCCAGGAAAGATTGAGAGTGCTGCTATATCACTACCACACCAAATATTTTGGTCTGGATAATATGGATGTTGTACGTTCAGATCTATGATTAATAATGTATTACCAAATACTTCAGCCTTTACACGATTTCTACTAGTGGACGTAAATGCAAAGAAAACGACATGATCTTCCATGAATTCTTGTCGCTGCTCATCTGTAAGATTAAGACCACGATACACTGTTAAAATATCCTTTGTTGTTTTTATTTGACACAGAGAGCAATAAAGCAACCAAGAGAATGGCTCGAATGCTTTTAACTGCTCGCAGGTAGGGACTATGACTTCTCGAAGTGTGTAGTTAAATAGTGTATACCAAAATGATTCTTTACTATAGAGATAGACACAGGTTTGACTGATTTCTGAAGGAATCCTAATGTACGCAGATTGTCTTGCATCTAAATTGGCGCCAAATGGTTTAACTGCGATTAATTGACTTGACAACCACTCCGCTTCAATTTGTTTATTGAGACGTTTACCTTCTCTGATAATCCCATCAGCAGCCTCTTGTACAATATCAGAAAGTGTTTTATCAGGATTTTTCTTTTTAATTATTTCATAATTGAGATAAAGAGAAGGAATATTCAGCAGTGTTCAGACTTCCAAAAAAGGAAATTTTGGAAGTTTTGGAAATTTCAAGTACTTGTGTTCTAAATTGTTTGGTACTTCCCAAAATTATACAATTTCCGAAATTTCTGAAATTTCCAAAATTCTGTACAAAGCGAAATTTCTAAACTTTCAAATATTTTCAAAAAATTTTCATTTGCTTTGCTATGTAGTAATCGAGTTGATGGAAGCTTCGGAAATTTCTGTAATTTCCTTTTTCGGAAATCTGAACATACCTCGGAATATTACCAAAGTAGTCCACCGCAAGATAATCTATATCTTCTACCATATCAGGCGACGATTTTTTTTTAATATGCTGTTTATTATTACACTCGGAAGCGCTTATATGGGGGTTTTGAACATTCCTTAACAGTATGGATACAATTTTAAGCATAAATATAAAATATGCAAGCTTGCCTGTTCTGAGCAAAGTGTTCTGAAATCGTATCATATAGGGGGATGTATTACAGAAAAAAAGAAGGAGAAAGAGAAAGAGAAAGAGAAGGAAGAGAAAAGGATAAAGATGGAGCAAGGGAAGATAGAAGAAATAAGAATATAATTTATGCGAATGAAGAAGAAAGGAGAATAGGGAACAACGATGGAAAGAAAAAAAAAGATTGCTGATATAGATGAGAGATGCAATCATAACACGCCAATATACCTATTATACATATTCAAGCCATTTTATTAAAAAAACGTCATGTTTCTCTTTTAAATTTTTCACTCGTTTCATTCGGAATAGATGACCCAAGTGATCTCCTTTTCTTTTTTTTTTAAATCATCCCAATAAAAAATATCATTATAAAAGAGGGATTTTCCTAAATCAGATTTGTGCATTTGATTTATTCTTTTCGCTATGTATTTTTTAACATAAAAATCTAAAGTGTTTTCTTTTATCATTTCAAATAGAGTGTGCTCCGGTACATACTGACATCGATACACCAGTCCCATTCCTACTCGATATTTACGCCTCAGAGTTTCTTGTTGCGTTTTGGGTAGAAGTGGAAAAAAAGGAAACAACCAAGCGAAATACGGAAAACTGTAAGCGAAGAAATATGCTCTCAACACTGCTGTGTTTAATGTATTGCCTGCTCTTAACCATTTCAATTTTATAAAAGATTTCTGTATGTTCTCTATACATTTATCGATAGTTGGTTTCAAGGACAGCTTACTTGTCCAAGTAAAACCCAAATATTTAAAGGATTTAACACTTTCGATCTTCTGTCCGTCCATCAGGCGACGATTCTGAAGTAGACACTACTGGCAATGAGAATCGTTCTTCGCGCAAATATACATTGCTACGATCGGTGTTCAGCTGAACGCGCTTAATTCGGCACTGTCTAGTAGAATGATTTTTCTTGTACTGAACCTGGTGTTTTAGACTGATCATATAATCTCCATCAATTTCAACACTGGTATTGTTTGCATTATATGCATCTTCGATAATTTCATTTTCAACATCTGTATATTTCTTCCATTCTTTCTTTTCACAGCCAGACCATGGATCCGCTGCTGAATTCCAATACCATTGAAAATTACGTGGACGTAAGTGAACAGAAACAAAGGATACAGAAGAAGTTGTAGTGGCCAGTTTTTTTTATTTCCTTCTGCAATACGCAAACAATTTAAAATCTGGTTTTAAATATATAATGTGAATCTGTTTGCTTACTGTTTGTATTCGTAATGCTCCTTTTTCTTTTCACGGCAACAAAATGAATGTCATTAGAAAGAACTGACTGCAATAAAAGTCCCTATTCTTATGTAAATACTTGAGAACTTATTCTTTTCTTTCTTTTTTTTTCTTTAGTTTTGTTGGCTCCATCAATATTTATAATTACTTGCAAAGAAGCAAAAGGGAAAAGGTAAACAGACAGTGAGCGAGCTGTCTTGAGAGTGCGTGTGAGTATAATCACCACAAAGAAATGTTTCGGTTATGGGTGGGTATGGCTATATAGATTTTCTCTTCATTAATACGCCCACACCTAGTGTTCGGCTATGTCTTGAACAGAGATGCCGAAAAAATCACTTTTCCCAACCCGAGGGTTGACCCTACCGCAGCAGATAGAGCAATGGGTGGGTTTCAACCCAATTTTTATTTTTAATTCAGCGAATGGGTCATTGGGTTGNACAGAGATGCCGAAAAAATCACTTTTCCCAACCCGAGGGTTGACCCTACCGCAGCAGATAGAGCAATGGGTGGGTTTCAACCCAATTTTTATTTTTAATTCAGCGAATGGGTCATTGGGTTAACCCTGGTTATAATGCATTTCAATTCTCTGTTATGTGCAAAACTTTCACACTGCTGATAGAGGTCTACAGCTATCAACAGATTTCTATTATATTTGTGAACGAAATCATTTTCATTTGAGCGAATAAATTCACCAATAAAAATACCCTGAAGAGTTATAATCCATTTCCTTTGTATATAATAAAATGCTAATTGCATCTAAAATATCATTCAAAAGTAGTGTCATTAAACAAAATTGTACTGATCGGAAATCGATATCTATATAGTGGTTTATTTCTGTAACCCAGGTCGAACAATCCGGCCTGGGAACGGCCGGTTCCGGGTACTTCCGTTGATTTTGTGGAAGCGGTATTCCGGTTGGGAATTTTTAGCATTTTTTCTGGTGATTTCCAATCAATTCCTGCCGGAAAGCACCGGAACTTGCCAGGAATTCGCCGTAAAAGTCCAGCCGTATTTTTGACCGGAATACTGCTTCCATGTTCCAGCGATTTCCCGTGTTTTCCTGCAGGATATGGTGACTTTCCCGCATATTCCCTGGAGTATCCTACGATATCCGGTGGCCGGAATGTTCGACCTGGGAACATATTGAAAACAACAGTGATGAATTCCAAACGTTTTAGGTTTTTTAAGTTAGTGGAAAACTAAAATAAAAACTAATAGCTCAAACAGCGTGGTGTACTAATGTAGAGAAGCAATGGAAATCGCTCAAGATGTATTCGCAATATTCATTTTTACACTTTTGGTGAACCATAAGAACGCCATCTATATTTCGTCTTTTTTCCATGGTTATTAGCATTAAAAAAATAGAATAGAAATCAGGAGAAAATAAAAAGTAATTAGATCAGTTTAGAATAAAGTGAAGATATGCATCCATTTATATATATGCATCAAACAACTCTACATACAAACAGTTAGCAGATGTATGCGGAACAAAAGGAATCGAAGAATGTAGAAGGCAAAAACAAAAATCTAGTAAAGAAGATAGTGAAATCTACCTCGATCGGTGAAGGAGAACAATGGATCTAAAACAGAGAAAAGAAGAAAAAAGAAGATGAGAGAGAAGAAACGTGAAAATAAGAGAGAAGTGAGATTGCAAGAGAGAGAGAACAGAGAGAAAAAGAAGATGCAATGCGCTTCTTGTGTGTTAAGCTGGATTATGCGATCAAATAAATAGTAAATATGGAAGAGATGATTCATGCTCTATGCTGTATTGTAACAACATCTGCATTAAAAATCCTTTTTGTGAATGATTTTACAATATATATTATTCATGGGCTAACCCAAGGGTAACCCGAGGGTTGGTCGATTGGGTTCATACGTTAAGCTTGACCGATGGGTCAGGGTTTAAAATTCTCAAATTACCGCAGGACTACATTGGGTTGGGTTAGGGTTGACCCATGGGTCACCCAACCCGGTGGGTAGCGGTGACGACCCAACCCATCTGGCATCTCTGGTCTTGAACATTGGACACTATTAATGATGCTCTTCACCCGAAATGTTTGTTGATTGGGTGACCGCACATATCGTCGCACGACACTTCGTCGCAGAAAAATTCTTTTCGTTCTGTTCGTCCCTATCTATTTGTCGCATCTCTCTTAATGAATTATTCTTTTTGTGTATAACCAATGGAAATTTTATGAGTTAATTTCTCTATATTTTGTGCATAATACACATAACATAATGAGGAACAGATTGAGAAAAGAAATAATCTAAAGAAATAAAATGACCTAAAGAGTAATGTTGCCTGCTATATTTTTTAAGAAATGATCTAGGTGAGATGAGTAGAGGGAGTTGACCGGTTGAATTTTAATATCAATTTTTAATTAAATAATCGGAAAACGATCGGGTTTTTTAATTTATCCTTTCACCGAATTAAAATTATGTCTCAGCAAAATTAATTGTATATCCCTATCGTACATATCTCTTGCAATATTTCATTTATTGTACGTTATTTCCATTGGTTGTACACAAAAAGAATAATTCATTAAGAGAGACGCGACAAATAGATAGGGACGAACAGAACGAAAAGAATTTTTCTGCGACGAAGTGTCGTGCGACGAAATGATTGCGACGAAGTGAACGCGACGAAGTGTCGTGCGACGATATGTACTAGTGCCTGTTGATTGAAAGCAAGAAAAATATTTTCTTGTGTACTATCATCACTGATATTAAATTATATGAAAATAAAACTTCACTAAATAGACACAGACTACGATTGTTTGTCTCTCAGGTTGTTTCTAACTTGCATCAAAGTAATTCCCAGTTGATTCCTTCCACTACCATCACCTCCATCTGCCCAATAAGAATCTTTTGTCGTATGTTCAACCAATTGACGATTTCCAGTTGATAGTAATAATTCTCGAAGCGGAAAGTGTTGTTCAAACTTAGCCGTACATGCTTTAAGCATGATTCCATCTTTCACTTGTGCCCAATCTGATCGTACTGCTGGTCGGTGTTTTCGAGAATAAAAGAGAGCTTCTATAGGTTTACGTAAATGCAAAACATTTTGAAAGTGTGCTTCATCGGAGATAAATTTTTGCGCTTGAAAGTAATGTTCAGTGGTAGGCCAAGTATATCCATCGAGTTTAATGGGAGATGGATAGAAATTACTGAATTCACCAAATGGCTGGTTACGGCAATAAAAATAAAGTTGACCTTCTTCCATGTTCGATGCAGAGAATAGAAAATAGTCGTTTTTTTCTGCAGACATTTTCTTTTATTTATTGCACCATGAATATGTACACAGTATTTCGTAAGATACGTAAAGTATGACGTCTGTTAAAATGATTCATAAGTAATTGTACAATATATTTGATCAATGACAAATAATGATTCAATAAAATTTCATTGCTTCAAAATCATTGTACAGTGATAAAGTCATTTTAACAGTTAACATTGAACGTAGAAAAAGTAGGACACACTCTCCTTTCTATCCTTACACGCATTTGTAACGATTAATAAGACTCAGTTGAGTCTATATCGTAATGACAAACTGGATAGAGGTGGAGTAGCTTACCGCTACTCTAGGTAATGATGTTTATTCGTTTATTCACATATCCAGAGTGTGACGACACAACTAGAGAGTGTCGCCTATGCCCGTCGACATGATGGTATATTGTGTCATCTGACATCTCTAGAGTGTGTCAACTTCATACATAACACACGTATATATAGGAGAGAGATAGAAGAGAGACAAGAGAGAGAGATATTACACCAATGGAAAGAGAACAGAAGGAAGAGGAAGGAGAATCATCGAAGCGTGCAATCAATATCGGCACAGCATTCCTGCACTATCAAACTAAATGATACATGAAAGGGTCAAAGGTAACAATGGTTACATATTCACTTTAACGCCGAAGCCGTATTTTCTGAGATACTATCGGGTGTGGGTGTAGGAGTTATCTAACCCTCAAGGGAAAAACACCTTCACCCACATCCTCTTACAATTTCCACCGTATTGCTTCGGTTTGGAAATTCATTTTGTTCATACCTACGGTCAGTTAAAATTATTCGAAAAATTTCCCAGAATTTCATGTTACTTGTATGTCTATCATTATAGGAGGAGAAATTTTTGATTTTAGCGTAAATTAGATTACAATGTGTAATAAAAGGTGCTGCAAAAACTAGGATGATGTACTAAAACAAATCTAAAAAAGTATTACATGAAGAAAATTAAAACTTCTAAGTTCATGTATGATGTAGGGTGAGGATGCAGGTATTTGTTCCCTTAGAGGTTAAAGAACACCCACACCCACACCCACACCCTTAAATATTCATGAAACTTCTATGTTATATCTTATTATGATGATGACGTTTATATAATCAGTTTATCATTTAGCAAATTTATATATACATTTCGATGTCATAAGTTATCCAATGACATAAAAGAATTATCATCGTAGTTTATATTACGTTGAGTTGACTAGTCTTATCTGGATTAATTTTTTGAAATTTAAATATTTTATTTATATTTATTCTTTAATAAAAAAGGATAATAAAGATAAATTAAGATCTCTATTACCTTAAAAGTACAACATGAAGCAAATAATTATTTTTATCGAATAATCGAATGCTAGCGCAACTAGCTATTTTTCCAAGCGACCGAACAACAAAGTATCTTACTTTAGAAGCATCAGTTGTCTTCTTTCAGCTTTGTCCTTGTTTGCCAATTATTGGTTTCTCTTGTTTAACTCTTTCTCGCTTGTCTTTTTCTCTCTCCTATGTCCATACTCTAACGGAAAAAAAATATGTTGATATGTCAACGCCATTCAGCTAGCATGGTACTAAGGAAGGAAGGAAGCAAGAAAAATATGTTTGGAGACATGGAAAATAACATCAATTACATCACCGACTTGTGTCAAGGCTATATCTCGGTCGCATTAGTCGTCTTTTTCTGCATGTCATCATCAAGCACAGTCCACTATTACATATTCTATTCGATGTTGTTCTAGCAATACGAGATAAATTCATGTATAGATAATCAGTAGACCCAAAACTTGTTACTTTTCATTGTAACGAACGTAGTAATACAAAGTGTGTAATAGTATCTCTTTCGCACTTCTCATTGAACAGATAAGTAGTAGTCGAGTTTATGTTTATTTATAAAAAAAAAGAAGTTTTATCAAACTCTATGTCGTAGTCAATGTAAAAGATCGTCTTCTCTTAATTTAATTGACTTTTAGACTTATATTTTCATAATATTAAAAGTAACATTATCGTTGAATAATATTTTCTTGGTACTCCATACCATTTTCGATAGGGCTTTCTCGAAGATAAGACACGATGGTTGAATCCGAGTTCTAAAATAAATTCAAGTAGTCTCATTTGAAAGAGTACATGAAAATATAACGAATGCTGTTTTCAGACATATGTAGTGCTCAATATTTGTATAGAAAACATTTTCATTTTTATCATATCATTATTATAAATTATCATTCGTGGAGTACACATATATTTCTGAAGAAAATAGTGAATTTAAATTTTTATGCTTTCTCAATTCTCATTGCAGACACTCCCAATCGAGAAATACTCTTCTTCGTTTGAATTCATATACGAATCTTTCAAACAGTTATGTAATAAATGTCGCTCTAGTAATGATAATGTGAGTATTAAATTGAAGCAGTAAATCATAAAGGTAAAGAATAAATGAAGACGGAAAATAATATCCATTATAATAGTTAGGTTGTTTTTTTGAATGCATTTAGATTTTATGCAAGGTTATGTATGAATCCTAGATCTATCAATATAATCATCGTAGGATATTTTGGAATAAGTAACAACCGTTTTTCTTTTTTTTTTATCAGTAAAAGGGCTTTAGTTTGGTCTTCACAGAAAATATTTGCGTTTTATCATAGCTGATTTCGCGATTTCATGTGAATAAAAATGTCATAATTGAACGCAGTAAGGTATTGTTTGCAACTGTGAGAACAAAATATGATGATGTTTGCGTCCATCACGAGGTTATTCACGGTCCTTTTCGTATGGGAATGAAGAAAAAGATAAGTTGCATATTTCTCAGTCATACGAATAATGATACCAAATGGTATTGGCATTGTTATGTTCCTACGTATAATTTCGATGATTTCGTCTGATTTTAGTTATTAAAATCAGTTATTCTTCTTTTTACTCTGGTTTTAGCGTGCAATATTTTAGACTGCGGTGTCATGAAGGTACAAGATCTACTCATAATGTTGCTGGCATTCAAATGGCGAGTATTGGCCAAAGAATATACGCCAAAAGAAGGCTCCAAAAAGTCAGATGTAAAAATGTCACTCAACGATAATTTCACAATCGCCGCTTTCAACTCTGATAAATTCTACGTGCTTTATTCGGTGTCGAATAATTCGATAAAAAGATATTATAAGATAAATTATCGCAAAGATGACGTCTATGTCTACAGTCTCTCTGTACTAAAAACTAAATCTGATCAAATCATGTCATTTTTACAAGTCGTCAAGAATATCAAGTCGAATTCGGTCTTACTCAGTCGAATCGATATTAACTAATCCAAGTTTCACAACAGTACAAATTATCAATATCGCAAGAGCATTGACAAGGTATTGAATAATATTGGTCAAGCACACATTTTAATCAAAGTTGATATACAAGAAAAGTATGCTTACGTTTTTGCTGATTCATTTATACTTTCATATAATTTATTGACAAATGAGCTCTACCAGAACAATGAAACAAATGTTGTACATTGTGATGGAGATAATGGATCATTTATCCCTCATGCAGCTGATCTAAGCAGTAAATGGGCTGCTATGGTTGGCTTCCATCGAATCCAGAATAGTTCTCGCAGTAAATCATGTATTTATATCTTTAAACTTCCATCTTTAAGTTTAATACAAGCACGTAGTCTCGATAAGAACTATGTCTCAAACTCTGAAAACATTGGCTACAATCACGAATCTATAATGTCAGCTGCAATTGATCCTTCTGGGATGATGGTAGCCATTGGACAAGCACAATTGGACACAGTAACAATTGCCTTTATAAATGACAGCAACACACCTACAAACATTTCTGAAATGTTCCAAATAGTTGAAGATGTGAAATTGATTGACTTTGGACGTTCAGTAGCTTGACTCGACGATAAGGGAACACTCGCTGTACTCGTTGGCAAGTCGGGAAATCGTACTGGACTGCAATCTGAAATACAAGTCTTCACAAATATCTCTTCTAATCCAACAAGTGTTTCTATTCTACCCAAATATATTTTTCCTAATAACCAACAGACTCTGCATGGAATTCCATATAAGTTCGGCTGGCGGAGACGCTCTTACCTTTTTATCCTGGCACAGTCACGCAACTTATTAATCCTTCGTGACGACGGCAAACTTATACATATTCCATCGGCTGATCCCGGTTTCTGCTCTATGGAACGTGTGGAAGTGTCCGAAGTTTATTGCGAACTGTTAACTTGCCTCGATAGTGATGTATGTGCTTTGCTTCCCATAGCTTTCCTTCGCAATAGTTCTTCAACGAATAAATCCACTTCGATGGTTTACTCTTTTTTATCGAAGCCATGCGTGAGTGGAACCTACAAGAGCATAACCGGCTTTGGTCCCTGCACAGTCTGTCCATCAGGAACAAAAAACCCGGGAGGTAATGAGTCATCTGATTGTCAACCATGCAAGCCGGTCGAATTCTGTTCGCTGGGTGCTAGTAGTGAACTCAATCTCACTGTGTTTAATTCTACTACGCAAGTATTCAGCTATCCAGATTCACCTATTATCGACAACTATGATGATGTATTGCTACTTAACTTCATTCCTAATACATGGACAGCTGGTTGCGTCTTATCTTCACCTCTCTTCGTTGCTGTCATATTCATAATACTTTCTTTCATAATATGGCTCATTAATGTTAACCATTAAAAAACGACAGCCGACTTCATTTGACACTCATCGGAAACGGGCAAAACGCATTATCAAGCACACTGACCTTATCGGAGAAGGAGAACACTTGGCTGGTGGTCTCGCATCAATTGTCGTTTTTGCAATTGTCATATATTCTATCGTTTTTGCCGTCTATTATTTTTTTTCGTATTCCTCCGACAGCACATGGATTCGTGAAGCATGTAACGACAGTCTACGAAATACGAAATTTGATAATGCTTTGCAGCTGCCATTACCGGATCCCAAAGGACACGATTGGAAAATTTTCCAATTGCTCAACCACCAGAACTTCACCATGGCTGTCGATTTAATAAATACTGGAGCGAAATGTGATCATATCGATGTTCATCACAAGAAACATACAGGTCATTCTGAAAAATTAAGCAAAACATATTGTAACGATTTAAACAATAGTTTCATAACGTCATTCAGTTTTCAAATACCCACTCATATTTCTACTGCTCAAGTTGCTATTAATGGACCCTATTTTATTGGGGCTATTCGACTTTGTCTGCATGGATTACCAACATATGTAAATGATGAAGACGAACATCGTGAACTAAAGGAACTCGATGTATGTACTCTGTTCCATACAGATAAACAGACGATTGGACGTTCAACTTATTTTAATGCAGATTTCGTCAGAGTTGTCAATGTTACAAAACCGCTGCGACGCAATCAACATACAAATTATAGTGCTTTATGGAAACCGATTACAACATATATCGATAATCTGTCTGACGATTTGTATTACGCTAAATACGGGGAATACTTGCGATACGCTTCTGATCAGACGACATTCACTGTAAAGTTCAAAGAACAAAACTACTATGTTCAGAACAACAAATCACCGATTATTCGTCGTGGAGCAATTACTTTTCATACATTTATGTTCATGTTTTTGCTGATTGATACAATTGCTATGTTATTTCTTGTTTACAAACTATGGGGTCAGCCTCTGGCACAATGTCTTCTCCAGTTATGTTATAAGTCTCGTGAACATGAACTTCAATCGAATCATACAGAAACGGCTATTGGAGTAAGTTATTCATTCTGGTATTTTCTTAGTATAGTTCAATGGGTGGAAGAGTATATGTATAATGGAGCCTTTTTTTTTAT